TGTATGTACATATATCTATGTATGTATGTATGTCGATACTTAACACAGCCGGTGGGGTTATTAAAGAAATTCCCTTTACATCACAGATAAAAGGACGTCATTATAAAGATTTTCTAAACATTTAATGCAGTATTTACCTACATATATACCATAGTAGATATTGTGCATACATACATATGTACATATGTATATCTATGTACATATGTGTATGGATGTGCGTTGCTAACCTGCAGTGAAAAGCCAAACCAGTCAGTAAAAATACTAGTTCATTAACTAGTAAATATGTGCTAATGCACATTCGACAATTTCGAAAATCTTAAGCGTTCAGCGACATCTGCGTTTGAATTGCCAAAGCTAAAAATACAACGCAATTATGTAATTCCTTTCCTTACAATTGTTGGTTTTGGCGTCGCGTGAAGACTACCGGGTCTCGTTCTGAGCTCGCAGGTTCAAAACCGCTGGGAGGTGGTTAGATTTTTTTAAATTAAATCAATGTATGTACATAAGTCAATATAATTATTTCAATTTAAATATAAATAACAAATTTGGAAATCTAATTTCATTGCAGAAAAAAATGTATTCAATTTAAAAATTACAATAAAAACCCTAAAAAAACAAGTAATTTTTAAGCAAAATACAAAACCGACTTCAAGGCTCATCTAAAAATTTAAGATAATCGTTAATTTCGCCATGATCCAATGATCAGATCTAAACCAAATTATGTAATATGGTACTATCTCTGAGGTAGCCTTTTCCTTAAAAAAAAAATATAGAAATCGTCAGCCTGGGGATCAAGCGAAGAATATATTGCCAACAAGTGCTACTTGGAGCTCGGTAGGTATCTAATGAAAAGCGGAGCCCTCTCCCGACGAACAAAAATCACTCTCTGCAAGTTTCTCTTCATTCCCGTGCTTCTACATATGTACATATATATCGCAGAAACATGGACGATGTCGAACAAAGTCGAGAAGGCTTTGTTTGCTTTCGAGAGAACTATTCTACGCATTTGCGTGTCTGCACTCGGGACGAGCTACTGTCGCTAATTCGCACAAGAGAGGCAATTAGAAAAGCTTTTTGTTCTCCTGATATATTGAAAGAGTAAGTTTCAAGTCACTAAAAATGTATGTTGATTTTTTAGATTTTTTTTTTGTCGATAGTGTTGCGCGTTTTCTTCCAGATAACGCTTGTAATTCATGCCACGAACAGACTTTTTTTTGAAGTGAAACTTCTTAATCGAGTTCGGAGATGGTTGCGTTAAATATTTAACACCAAGCCATAAAATCTATATCGTTCGTTCGATTTGTAAAAATGAGGTGTCAAATGAAAGAGCTTGATCTGTAGATGTGCAATATAGTTTTAGGTGTTTAAAGGGTTGCCATATATACGAAAACCAAATTCAAATTATTTATTAAGTTAAATGAATTATCCCAATATGGGTATCAAAAGAAATGGTTTCGAATAAACTGTATTTTTTAGCTACATGTAGGAGGGTTGCCACCTGTTTCAAAAGTCAAATTTAGTTAAATTATAAAATAGTCTTATGCATAAAATACTATATAGTAAGCGTGAAATGAAAGGGCTTAAAGGAGCACAATTAAAATATTTTTGAGATGCTTGAAGACGGTGACCACCTGTTTAAAAAGTTAAACTCAAATAATTGAAGTGAATCTTATTATTACAGCTCCGATATGTTTGCGATATATATTTATCGCCACGGTAAAGGTAGTATATGGCGGGTATAGAAAACGAATAGCTGCGTTAAACGCCAGAATATAGACAAAAACAAAGATAAAGATAAAGAAAACATGAAGATGAAGATGAAGATGAAGACGAAGATGAAGATGAAGAT